TATCCATGGGGATCCATAGGGGTCCCGCTACCCGTTAACCCTTAACACTTGAAATCATATTCCAGGGTCGTCCCCATACCCCGTCCGGTATGGGCGCCAAAACTATAAACCTCATTACCCCGTCCGGTATGAGGGTGAAACGGGCCGTCCCCATACCCCGTCTGGTATGGGCGCCAAAACACATAAGATCTCCATACCCCGTCCGGTATGGGAGACCACAATCCCGGTAGGGTTCCCTACGGACCCGGTCCGTCCACCATCTCCCAGGATATCTAGTCAGGCTGACCACATTATACAATTACCCATTTACATAATCTATCATTCTCTTTTCCCTCAGTCAGCATCATCAATCCACATACAAACAAGCAAAACAGTAATTTATGTCAAACAGACAAACATACAGCATCAATATCCCAGTCATTCAATTCATAATCAACAAAACAGTAAAATATGCACATGAAACTATAAAATGAAAACATCAAACCTCATACTGCATTTAAAACTGTAAAACAGGCCAAATAACAGTTAACCGACAAACACACTAGACTCGGGCTCCATTAGCGACCTTAAGTAGTTTCATACATTCGTTGATTCATGGAATACCGTTTTATCATTTATTGAACTTTAATACCGTGATAGGAGATAGGGTGAGGGGTCCTTACTTGTTTCGGGGTCCGAACACGGCTTCACAGTACGCCTACAGGCTGTCCCTAATTTTCCCTGAATTTTTTCCGGGGAACTGAAACGCACTACTGGTACCTACACGTGTTCCAAAAAAATCCCAAATTAGGCCCAGGGCCCCTTTCGGCCAATATCGCAATTCCGGCACGGCGGCTCCACCGTGCTCCGGCGACGGCGCCGCCGCAAGCGGCAGCGATTTGCCTCGGTTTGGCCGTTTTTGGCCGTTTCCGACCGAATTCGGCCACACTTGTATCGATCCTTGCGATTAAACAACTCTAGAGCCCTCGGGGGGCCAAAAAATTACAGAAAACCGAAGCTTACCGGCAGCGGTGCTCTCGGGTGCGGCGGCTCTCCGGTGAAGTTTGTGTTTTGGTGATTCGGCTTCGATTAACCTGTAGAGAAAAGAATGGTGATCACAGTGATATAAAAATTGCATTAAACGGAGGCCGGGAAGGGCCTCATCGGAGGCAAAAACTGAGGAGGTGCGCGGCGATGCCGCTGGGCTTCGGCCGTGTTTTCCGGCCGTTTGACCAGAATTTTGGCTTCGATTTGGCCACAGGGGAAATCAGCGTGGAAAAACGAGTCGGGGGTATGAAATTTACCTAGATTGGCGGTCAGAAATCTCTCCGGTGCGGCGGCGGGTGGCGGCGGCCGGCTTCTGGTTTGTCTTCTCCGGCGAGGGCAGGCGGCTAGGGTTTTGTGGTCTGGTGTGGGGGTCTTATTTATACTCTTTTGCCTTTTGATCTCAGCCGTCCATTTTGATTTAATCTGGGCCGTCTGTTTTTGATTGAATCTGGGTCGTCCGTGCGATTGCATCTGGGCCGTCCGATCGCACACTTGATCTGGGCTGTTCGATCGCGCATACGCGGATCGCCAACGTGGCCCGTCCTGGATCGACGTGGTCTTGCCACGTGGCAGGTTCCGGTTGGCCGGGACTGCTGACTGGGTCTGCTGACGTGGCCCCTTTTTTTTTTTCTTCAATTTAATTTTGAAGAAGATAACAA